AAAAAATTGAAATTAACTCTAATTTTAACAAGAAACTAAAGGAGCTACAACGGAATGTGAGCAACTTGATGTACGAATCTATTAGCACTAAAAATTACGGACAAAAATCATGAATATAATTTCTCTCTCAAAAAAAATAATCATGAATATAATATGAATTCACACATATATAATGTTTTCAGATAAAAAAAATGTTTTTAAGTTTTCTAAAAAAAATTATTAATTTATAGTTTTATAAAAAAATTATTTATACCTTTGTATTAGTTTTTATGAGGGGAAATAACTGCAAATAGATTAATGAATAAGGTGAGAAATACACTCACGAGGAACTGACTCCCAAATGCAAAGACCTCTGATTTTACGGGTGAGTTGCTTTAAGGGCATTTTAATAGTGAGGAGTTTTTTTTTTTTTTTTTTTAAACAATAGTGGGGAGTTTTGGTGCTGTATTTTAAGAGTTTTTGTAGGTGTGATTATGAAAGAGAAAATTAGAGAAAGAGATTAAAAAATCAAAAAAAAAATGTCAGTGAAAGAAAAAAGAAAACAAATAAAAAGAACCTGAAAGTGCAACCTACTCTCCCCTTCTCTGCTTGTTTCTTTTCTTTTCTTTGTGGGACCTACACAAGGGGACAAAATTTCCAACCTCATGCAACTAACACTCCCCTCTCTCGTCCACTTCACACGTTTTTCCCTCAAGCACAACCCCCTTAATGGGGATGCCCTAAGAGCATCAATATCAATTGGGGTTATTCAGGGGTTATTGTAAGAGTAATTAAGAAAGAGAATGTGGGAGGGGAGAGAAAAAGAAAAACAAAACAAAAAATAAAAAACAAAAAACAAACCAACTTTTTTTTTTTTAAATATGAAATTGTAATGTGTCAGGCGCGCCTAACGCACCATTCGGGCGGGGGCAGGACACCGCGCCAGAGTGGCCTCTTGGGTTTCCTTCACGCAGAGACACCAAGGCTCTTTTTTTTTTTTTTTTTTTTTTTAGTGTGGACCCCACAATTCTACCACCCTTTGGAGGAGAAATAACTCGACAAATAACTCCACCCCACATCTCTAAATAACTCCATTCAAGTTTTTTTGACCGATAATAACCTCCAAATAACTTCTGATGTAGATGCTCTAAGCATTTAACTAAGAGCAACATTATCAGATAAACTCTTGCACGATTATTTATGTTACATTAGAAGAGAGAGTGAAGTAAAAAAGAAAAAAAAATAAAAAAAAAAAGACAGATCTGACACAAGCAGAAAAAGAAAAAAAATTAAAGTTGAAGCTACGCTCCAGCCGGCGCGTGCAGGTTGGCCGTAGCTATGCGCGAAACACGCACAGTTTTGTTATTTGTGTCAGTTTACACTGTTTTAAGAACCCAAGCTCTTGTAGAAGCTTTCCAATTTTCTTTCTCACTACTTCTCTCTCCACCACATCATCAATTACTGTTCCAATAACTCCTCTTTCTTCCCGGATGATGATGCTCTAAAATATGAATCTGTTGATTAACTGTTCTACAAATTAAACCAATGGAGCAATAACTAATCGAGAAAGAGACATGAATACAGACATACCAGTTTCAGCAAATAAATTAAAGTCAGTTTTTTTAAATTTTATATTCACAATTTTAAAACTGAATATTCTCAATTTTAAATCTCAATATACAAAATTACAAAACTCAATATTCACAATTGCATAACTCTTTATTCACAATTTTTGAACTTTATATTCACAATTTTTGAACTCTATATTCACAATTTTAGATCTCAATATACAAAATTGCAGAACTCTATATTCACAATTACAAAATTCTATATTTACAATTACAAAACTTTATATTCACAATTTCATAACTCTATATTCACAATTACAGAACTGAATATTCACTCGCTGAGTTGTTTTCAATGATTAAAAAAAAAAAATCATTGGCTGCGGAAACAGTGCCACTAACGGCACCGTTATTTCCACACGCGCAAACTGCGTCGTTTTGGACCTCAGTCCACCTTGCAAAGTGGACCCGGATCCATGGCATAACTATTGGGTTGTTATATCGTGCACCAAGGTGCACAATGCATTGTGCGCTCTAAAAATTCATTGTTTCGTATATACATAATTGCATAGTAAAATACACGTAAACTCCTAACATAATTCACATAATCTAACATTATACACATAAACTCTTAACATAATATACATAAACTCTTAAGATGTACAATGCATTGTATGCCCTGGTACACAGTATAATATGTCATAACTATTGCCCCCCTCCCCCAGACTCCAATCGTTATGCTGTGCATCCGTATGCACCATGCATGGTGCATACGGATGCCAAAACGACGTCGTTTTATTAAAAAACGCGCGTCTCCCATTTTAAAAAAATTCAGGTTCGATTCCCAGTAACAACATTATATTGTTCATTCATTCTGGAATTTTAGTTCATAGATTATGGAATTATAGTTCATTGATTATGGAATTATAGTTTATCGATTATGGAATTGTAGTTCATCGATTCTGAAATTTTAGTTTATAGATTATGGAATTTTAGTTCATTCATTCTGGAATTTTTAGTTCATAGATTAGATTATGGAATTATAGTTCATCGATTATGGTATTATAGTTCATCGATTATGGAATTTTAACTCATATGTTGTTGCTGGGAATCGAACCTGATTTTTTTTTTAAGGGAAGACGCGCGTTTTATTAAAACGACGTCGTTTTTGCATTCGTATGCACCATGCATGGTGCATACGGATGCACAGCATAATTTGCCCCCGGACTATTTATTTTTCATATTTTTATTTTGACATGGTCCTCATAGGCTCAATTTCCTCTTGGCCCATGACATCACCTCCCTAGCCCAGGACACCACCTTGCAAGCCCAGTAGCCCTTCCCTGCCTTCATAACCCCTCCCACCCCAAGCAAATATTCTTTCACCTTATATACCCAAATCCAATCCTATGTCATTAGGTTCCCACCTTCAGAGGCCAATTGGAGCAAATTATGCTGGATACGGTTTCAAAACTGTCATAATTGTGAATATAGAGTTTAAAAATTATGAATATAGAGTTATGAACATAGAGTTCTATAATTATGAATATAAAGTTCCGTAATTGTGAATATAATATAGAGTTCAATAATTGTGAATATGAAGTTCAAAAATTATGAACATAGAATTTTATAATTATGAACATAGAGTTCAGTAATTATGAATATAGAGTTCTGTAATTCTGAATATAGAGTTCAAAAATTATGAACATAGAGTTTTATAATTATGAATATAGAGTTCAGTAATTATAAACATAAAATAGTATACACCTTGCAAGGTGGACACGGTTCCATGACATAACAATTGCTAATTATGGCATACTAGGTCTTAGGGCCATGACTCCATCAAAAAAATATTTTCAAAATACTTTTGTAAAATTAAAAGATAGAGATTTTTATTTTTTTTTATATTTTTTAATTTCTACTGTCTAATAAATTGATGTTAAAAGTTAAACTTATACTCCGTATCTTTCATCGTTTTCAGACAATAGAAAAATCTAAAGAAGTCTGAAATTTATTTGACAGGGCTTATTTATGAGTTTATAGTTTATTTTAAGCTACTAATAAACTATAAACTCTGTTTGATAATGTTCTTAAAATAAGATAATAGCTTAAAATAAGAGCTTATTTTGAAATGTTACCTAGGATAGCGTTTCAAAATAAGTTAGTTGCTTCCTAACTTTTTTTCTATCTCTATCCTTATTATTTTAAATAAATGATATCATTTATCCTTCTCAATTAAAACTTTTTTATTTGTAAAAACAAAGATTTACTTAAAAAGAAAGAAATAAAAAATTTAATATATATCTCATATATATTATACAAACAATTTTTTTACTTTTATTTTAATTTAATATATATCTCATATATATTATAAAAATAAAAAATATATAAATTAAATATATCTCATATATTTAATATTTAATAATATAAAAAGAGTTAATGCTCAAAATCGTCCTCGACTATAGTGGTTTTTCTCAATTTCGTCCTAAACGACTTTGGTGACCTAATATCGTCCCAGATTTTTGTGTTTTGCTCAATTTAGTCCTCCATTTGTTATTCCGTCAAATTGGTGTTAAATAAAGGGACAATTCAGTAATGTCAATATTGATCTCTCTTTACTTTCAACTTGTGAAGTGCGAAATTCCTCTTTCTTGTACGAATTACACCCAGAATTACTCTCGGACCTGCAAATCAAATTTTATATTCGCAGTTTTAGGAGTAATTCTGGGAGTAATTCGTAAAAAAAAAAAAAAAAAAGGATTTCGCAGTTCACATGTCTATGAGTAAAGAGATGCCAATATTAAAATTACTGAATTGTCTATTTATTTAACACCAAATGGACAGAATAACAAATGAAGGACTAAATTGAGCAAAAACACAAAAGTCTGAGACTAAATTGAGCGAAACACAAAAGTCTGAGACGATATTAGGTCACCAAAGTCATTTAGGACGAAATTGAGAAAAACCACTATAGTCGAGGACGATTTTGGGTATTAACTCAATATAAAAACAATATAATAATATGAAGATGTCATTTTTTTGTCTTTTTACATTTATCAGCTTATCAAAAAGCTAATTTTACAAAACACTTATAAGCACAATCAACTAGTTAACACCTCCTCAGTTTTTAGTTTGGAGCTTATATATAGCTTTTCAGCTTTCAGCTACTTTTCAATTTTCAGATACTTTTTAGTTAGGTTTGTCAAACATAGTCTTTCTATGCGGGGCAAATATGCATATTTAATTTATCATTATTGCTTGTTGGTATATGAATTCATATTTCCTATGAAGCTAGCAATCATGCATCGCTATTCTTAGCCAACAACACAAAGTCGAGAAAATGAATGGATAAGGGAAGAAGGAAGAAGACAGATCAGATTATTATTTGGGTTTAGAGATTTTGGATTTATTTTGTTGTGGATAAAAGTTCCCCCTTATATATGTCTGCAATTTCAAGAATTAAGAACTGACTGGCCTTTGCAAAAACACAACCACCACCCATTTATATCACCCTCCCAAAGGCCAAATCCACACTCTCAACGTAACTTTCCATTTCCATCAAAATGAAATCAACAAAACTGATAATAAACAACAAATCTGAACACCCCATTCTTCTCCCTTCTTTGTATAGTACAACATTCCATGGCCAATAAGAATCTAACTGAATAATTCCCTTTATATTCTCTTCCTTTTTAAGTCATGATTTCCTCTTACTTCTTACTTCACAACTCACATCTTTACTTCCACAAGCACAGGGTTTGTGTTTTCTCCAATGAAACTCATCAGTTTCAGAAGAAAGAGTTCCTTGAGATAATAAAGCCCCAAGTTTTGAGACCCAAAGGCTCCTCCGGTTTCATACGCCCTTATGCTTCCCTTTCATCTTTCGCTGAGGGGGGAGAGGGTTATGAGAAATTTGAAGCCAAAGGGCTTCAGAATCAAGAAGACCCAAGCTCTGAAGTTGAAGAAGATGAGTTGCCTGGAGGTATGGCGCAGGCTTTTAACATATCTTCAAGAACAGCTTCTGCTATTTCGATATGCGTTGCAGTGGCGGCCCTGAGCTTGCCATTGGCGATGAAGTCTTTGCAGGGTGAGGGGGTGGGGTTAAAGTGTAAGGTTTTGTCATATGTGACGCTGTTGTTTGGGTTCTACATGGCGTGTAACATTGGGGCTAACGATGTGGCTAATGCCATGGGGACTTCGGTGGGTTCTGGGGCCTTGACGCTCCGGCAGGCGGTGTTGATGGCCGGAGTTTTGGAATTCTCCGGCGCATTGTTAATGGGAACGCATGTCACGAGTACAATGCAGAAGGGGATTCTTGTTGCCAGTGTTTTCCAAGGAAAGGATACTTTGCTCTTTGCTGGGCTTCTGTCTTCTTTGGCTGCTGCAGGGACATGGCTACAGGTGCTGCAAATTTCTCATCTCTCTTTCTTTTTCACACTAGCTACTATATATGTGGTCTTTCGACTTTCAAATTTAACCATTCGTGGTCCAAGTTAACCACCTATCGTCCTTTCAAGTTTCGAAATTTAACCAGTCGTGGTCCTCTTGAAAGGACCATGGTTGGTTAAAATTTAATAGTTGAAGGACCATGAGTGGTTAACTTAGATCACTAATGGTTAAATTTGAAAGTTGAAGGACCACAAATGGTTAATTTGAAAGTTTAGAACTAAACGTGACAAAACTACTATACTCGGAGGACCTCAGAGGGTATGAACTCAATTTAAGAAAGCCTAAGTTAATTTAGTCCTTAAAAAAAAATCAAATACGTCACTCAACTATACATCAAACTGCAATTAGGCCATCGAACTGAAAATAAATATAATTGGGTCCATGAACAACACAAATTCATGCAATTCAACCAAAATGACATGTTTACCTTGTGTGATTGCAAAGCCAACAGTCTGACTAACTTGGTTGGGTTCACCTGAACTATCCATTTGCCTCCTATACTAATAGCACATCAGGGCCAAGGTGAAACTCATTGATTACATTAACTGTCAGCTAGTAGTCTAAACACTACCTCAGTGCATGTAAATTTAGCAACAATACATGTTTTCCCCAAATGGAAGTATGGGTTTTAACAATATATAGCCAGAAACACATCCTTTTAACCATCCATATATAAGACCTCTTGTTTATGTGCAGGTTGCATCATACTATGGTTGGCCGGTGTCCACCACACATTGTATAGTGGGATCCATGGTTGGGTTTGGTCTGGTGTATGGAGGAACCGGAGCTGTGTTCTGGAGCTCACTAGCAAGGGTAACGTCGTCCTGGGTAATCTCCCCTGTTATTGGAGCAATGGCATCATTTCTCGTCTATAAGTTCATCCGCAGAGTACGTTCTTCACATCACAAATTTATTATCAGGAGTTTATACCAGTTGGGATCCTCCGAATATAGTACAATGACACCACAACATTTAGTCTTAAACTTTTAATTTAATCACTCCTAGTACTTCAACTCTCAAATTTGACTACTTATTCTTCAATCTTTCAAATTAACCACCCACCATAATCCTTTAACTTTCAAATTTTAACCAGTCGTAGTATCACCAACAGTAGTTTTTGCTAGGTTTTTGGTGTGATTTTTGAGAAAGGAAGCTTAGGTGGAGGAGAGAGTATGAGAGAGAAAAATAAAAATCTCCTTGGGAGGAGCTTGGTTTTTTCAGACGGTAGGACCCACCAAAATTTAGGAACTTAGCGCCCAGCCGACGACACGCGCCCGCTGACACGTCTATCTGTTGCTTTTTTTTTTTTTGACAGTTCTGTTTTTCTTTTTTACTTTTTTCCTTCTTCTCTTTCCATCTCCTCTCTCCTAGTAGGCACCTCAAAAGAAAAGAAAAAAAAAAAAAAAAAAAAAAAAAAAAAAAAAAAAAACCTCCACTATTGAAGATGTCCTAACTATGTTTCTAACTGTCAAGTTAGTCACTCATGCTCCTTCAACTCTCAAATTTTTAACCAGTTATAGCCCTAATTTTTCCCTTACTTAAACTAACGAAAGAACTACGATTTGTTAAATTTAAGGTTGAAGGATTACCCGTTGTTAAATTAAAAGTTTAGGGCTAAATTTAATGGAAAGTACGGTTATGTTCCGAGGACCCCAACTGGTATTAACTCCTTCAAGACCGAGCTTTAAACCATCCCTAATTCTACTTTTGCATTTATAGTTTGTTTACAGTGCTCGGAATCCAGGGCAAGCAGCCGCTGCAGCGGCACCAATCGCTGTTTTTCTTGGTGTTACCGGAATCTCCTACGCTGCCCTCCCTCTTAGCACCACACTTTCAGTGGCTCTGCTCCAGGCTTTAGCACTCGGCGGCATTGGGGCTATAATGGTGGACAGAATCATCAGAAAGCAACTCGGGCACCTCCTAGCCGCCAAGTCCAAATCAAAGACACAAACTACCCAGACCAAGAATCTAGGACTCCTGTCGGACGTGGCTGGCCCGAAAGGCACGCAGCTAGAGATAGTTTACGGCGTGTTTGGGTACATGCAGATTGTGTCCGCCTGTTTCATGTCATTTGCCCACGGCGGCAACGACGTTTCCAACGCCATAGGCCCTCTGGCGGCGGCGCTGTCGATCGTTCAAGGCGGAATGATTGGTGGCGGCGGGGAGGTTTTGGTTATCCCGAATGATGTCCTGGGTTGGGGAGGGTTCGGGATTGTGGCGGGGCTAATGATGTGGGGGTACCGAGTGATTGCCACCATTGGAAAGAAGATCACCGAGCTGACACCCACGAGGGGTTTCGCGGCCGAATTTGCAGCCGCCTTTGTGGTTTTGGTGGCGTCCAAGCTCGGGCTGCCCATCTCGGCCACCCACACTCTTGTGGGGGCCGTGATGGGGGTCGGGTTTGCCCGAGGGCTTAATAGTGTTAGAGCAGAAACTGTGAGGGAGATTGTGACTTCTTGGGCAGTCACAATCCCTGCCGGGGCTTGCTTGTCTGTCATTTATACATGGGTTTTCACTAAGCTGTTGTCATACATAATCTAAGTGTACATTACAATATGATTATACAAATTCATTCATATTGTATGTAAGCATCAGTGTACAAACACTTTTTTAGCGGATTTATTGATTGTAGAGGCAAATCGAGGCTCTATGGCAGAGGCATATGGGGCGGGCAGCCCTCAAAATTGGGATGTATTTTTTTAAAATGATTATAGTGTGATACTTGTTTTTTTTTTTTTTTTTAGGAAAAAATGTTAAATAAACTGAACTTTTGTTTATTTTTGTTAATTCTTTTGTATCCTTATTTTGCTTTTATGTATTTACATATTAAATATAAAATTTGTATAATTAAAAATAAATTATATTATTTGAAAAATCTCATCAAGATGATTAAAAAATAACTAATATTGAATATAGATTAATTAAAAATTTAATTGATGTTATATGCTATATTATTATGGAATAAAAACATTATTTGCATTATAATTTATATTAAAATATTTAAAGTATTTAATATAAAGTTTAATTATGAGAATACAAATTATATTAGTGAATGAATAAAATTTGGTGCAGAATTTAGTGTAAATGAGTTGGAAATGAAAAAAAAAAAAAAAAATTAGTCTAAGAATATTTTTTTTAGGGGCGTTTGGTTTATGTAGTGTGAATTTGGTGTGACGATAATGTTTGGTTGGAAAACATTTTCCCCTTAAAGTTGAAGAAAATGAAAATAAATTCTTTAACAAAAGGGTAGTATTTTGTTTCACGCAGCATAGAGCCAAAGTTTCTGGGTCCTGGTGAGGGAAGATGAATAATTGGTTGTAAAAACTATGTGTGGCTGCTGGGATTCGAGCCCAGGTCTCCACGGCCACAACGTGGAATTCTTACCACTAAACTACAGCCACTTGATAGTTAGGGAAATCTTACTAACTATATAATCTATATGCTCTACTATTTTTAATTTTTTTGAAACAACTATTTTTAATTTTTGAATATTTGTTACGTCAGTTAATTGTAAATTGTTCGTATTATTTACATTTATAGTTGATTAAAATTAATTATTTACACAGCTATTTATTCCATATTATTTTTAGTATTATTTATGGATCACACTTGTGTGAAACTGTCTCACAAATCTTTATCCTTGAGTCGTGTGATTCGGGTCAATATGAAAATGTAATATTTATACTGAAAAATTTAATACTAATTAGAAATAAAGTGATTTGCTACTTATAAAGGAAAACGTAATACTTTTGAGGACAAATATAATATTTTTACATTTTTATCTAAAAATATTACTTTTTCCATCAAAGTATTACAATGTAATAGAGCTACTAGCATTCAAAAAAGTATTACAATTTTTCTTATAAGTAATGTTGGCAAGTATTTGTTACTTATAAAGTCAAATGTAATACTTTTGAGGAAAAATGTAATACTTTTAAATCAAAATGTAAAATTATTACATTTTTCTTCAAAAGTATCACATTTTTCCATATAAGTAAATATGAAGTAAGTAATAAACATTTTATTTATGATTTAATATTAAATTTTTCAGTATAAGTATAACATTTCATCTTGACCCGACCTATCTTACGGGTCTCACACAAGTTTTTGCCTTTATGTATTGGCAAAAATTTATATGAGACTGTTTCACGAATCAGATCTTTTATTATATGGGTCAACCAGTGCACAATCTCACGCTCCTACACTTATCATTTCTCTATCTGTTTCTACCACATGATTTATTCTCCATGCTCACACTCTCTTTGTCCTCCCATTTCTCTCATTCAAATTCCTAATTTTCTTATTGGAGGACAAGGCACGTGAGCAAGAAAATGAAGAAGGCTCTAGTATGTAACCGTCTTGGATCAGTTATGCGTCTGTTATAACTGCCTTCTTCTTTGTATACTTAAAGCATTCTGTAATCTTTGTAAGAAGATAAGTCAAAATAATATTCCTTTTCGTTACACCAACAAACTTCGTTCTTCTCTTTCACGCTTCTCCGTCATGGTATCAGAGCGACGTTACCAGTCGTACGCCGCCGCCATAACCGGCGTCGGAAGCACCAGTCAAGGGACACAAGGTGTCACTCCGATCAACCACTCACCAGCTCCGATTAATCCCGAATCGATTTCGCAGAGGGATCATCTCCGTCAGAGAAACCTAAATCCAGAGGAGTTAGAGGATCCTTTCCTTCTCAGCCCCAACGACAATCCGAACGCCGTTCTTGTCACTCCGCCTCTCCTAAGCAGTTCTAACTATGGAACTTGGGCGATCTCCATGCGGATTACGTTGGAGGTCAAGAATAAATGGGGCCTAGTTGATGGCAGCATAGCAGTTCCAAGCAAAGATAGCGTCCAATATCCAGCATGGCGTCGTTGCAATCTGCTAGTCTGCTCATGGCTCTTCAGGTCCGTACACTCGACGATAGCACAGAGCTTGATGCATTTTGATAAGAGCAGAGACATTTGGGAAGACTTGAGAAGACGCTTCTCACAATGTGATGCTCAAAGGATCTCAATCCTGCAAAACGACATATACAACCTGAAGCAACAGACTCTCTCTGTTAACGACTACTACACAAAGTCGCGCACTCTGTGGGAGGAATTGAATACGCTGAGGCCCCTTCCCATATGTAGATGCGATCCCAGGTGTTCATGCAACCTTATGGATGAAATCAGAAAGGAGAGAGACACGGATCAGGTAATCCGGTTTTTGCAAGGTTTAAATGAAGATTATAATAGTCTTAAATCCAATATTCTTGTGTTGGATCCATTACCTGAGATCTACAAAGTATTTGTGATGGCTAAGAAACTGGAAAGGCAAATCAATCTAACCAACTTGAGCCTAGGAAATCTGGAAATTAATCATGCTAATGCAGTAAACACCAGTCAATCTGTTGATGAAGAAACTATGGCAGCAGCACTGAACAATTTTAATGGCCGACGAGGCAACGTTAACAAGCCAAAGTGCACGTACTGCGGGATGGTAGGACACACGATTGACAAGTGCTACAAAAAGCACGGCTATCCTCCCGGTTGGGTGCAAGGTTTCAAGTCGAAGGGGAGACAACAGACTGTCGGACCGGTCACAAACATTGCAGGTGAGCTGGGAATTTCCCCGGAGCAATTGCAAAAGATTATGGCTGTTATTCAAGCAGGACAATCTTCTGGGGCTAGCACAAATGCAGCAGTCCACTTGACACCCACCTTTGATGAGAATCAGACTAACCAAGAAGGCAAGTATATCCATCCACAAGTTAACTCTCTTACTGTTTGCTCATCTACTTGGATTATTGACTCCGGGGCCACAAATCACATTGTGTGTTCCCCTGAGTTCTTCTTTAATCAACATTCATCTAATGGAGTAGAGGTGAATTTGCCTACCGGTCAACGTGTTCCCGTCATCCACATAGGAGATGTGAGGCTCAATGACACTATGTGGTTAAAGGATGCTCTGTACATCCCTTCCTTCAGATTCAATATCATCTCAGTTAGCAAACTTGTTCAAGATACAACTTATAGACTAATATTCATGGATGGGCAGTGCTTGGTTCATGGGAATCATGGACAGATGGATGGTTTAGCTAAACAACAAAGTGGGTTATACATCTTGACGAAGCCACCTCCAGTACCAGGCATCACTGATATGCAGTGTAGCAGCGCCACACTTTGGCACCAACGATTGGGGCATTTCCCAATCAACAAACTACATCTTTTTAGTTCCATTAATGTTGCAAATAATAAGGCTCAAGCCTGTGATGTATGCCACTTCGCCAAACATAGGCGTATTGCTTTTCCTTTAAGCACTTCTACATCAACTTCTTGTTTCGATTTAATACATGTTGACATTTGGGGTCCTTTCCCTATTTGCTCCTTAAAAGGAGAACGATACTTCTTGACAATTGTGGATGATTGCTCACGATTCACTTGGCTACATATGATGAAATCCAAATCTGAAACTAGGCAGCTTATTAAACAATTTCATGCTTATGTGTTTACACAATTTGGTGCCTTGATTAAGGTTATTCGCAGTGATAACGGTTGTGAGTTCAACATGGTTGAGTTCTTCTCAGACAAAGGGATTATTCACCAACGTTCTTGTGTCAGCACCCAATAGCAAAATGCCATAGTAGAGGAAACACCAACACATCCTCAATGTGGCAAGGGCGTTACGATTTCAAGCACACCTTCCCTTGGAATTCTGGAGTTATTGTGTCACGCATGCTGTCTTAATCATAAACTGACTCCCGTCTCCAGTCATTGGATGGGAGAGCCCTTATCAAAAGCTATACAACAAAGAACCAAACTTGGATTCCCTCAAGGTGTTTGGGTGCCTATGCTTTGCTGCCACCTTGCCAACCAACAGACACAAAATGCAACCAAGAGGAAGAAAATGTGTTTTCCTTGGCATGCCAGCTGGAACAAAGGGATATATCCTTTATGATATTAATGACGCTTCCTTTCTTGTTTCTAGGGATGTCATCTTTTATGAAGAAGAGTTCCCCTTGACAGATCATGGGCGACAGATAGATACAGACAAATCTTTTGCTCCTGACCCACCTTTGCCAATGCTATCCACAGATGGTTGTTTAAATCTTGAGGTCCCCAACATGCATGATTCTCGGATCCAAGATGTCATCCAGCCTAGTCCTTACATGAGCCACAATTCAAGACAGCCATACATTGGCAGTGAGCATCCTGCCAGTTCACATACTCAGCAATCTGAAGATCATGGTGATAATGCTGATTCACGAGTGCTCACTGAAGCTACTCAGGATACCCCCACTGACATTCCTCCTCCTACACATCCAAGGAGGTCTGATAGAGATCGTCGTGCTCCCAAGAAATTGCAAGATTACTATTGCGACATGGTTCTTGAAAAGGAGGTTGCAAGGACATCTCCACATCCACTGTCCCGAGTCCTATCTTATGATGCACTAACAGAGCCACACAGATTGTTCTCAATGGCAGTTACTTCAGTGGATGAACCAAGAACATATAACCAGGCCATACGTCATGATTGTTGGAAAGACGCAATGGCAGCTGAGATCAAGGCTCTTCAAGACAACAACACTTGGAGGATAACTGACTTACCACTCGGCAAAACGGCTATTGGTTGCAAATGGGTATACAAAACAAAGATCAAAGCGGATGGCACGATCGAGCGTCACAAAGCAAGATTGGTAGCAAAAGGCTACACACAACAATTGGGGGTCGATTATATTGAGACTTTTTCCCCAGTAGCAAGGCTTACAACCATTCGTGTGTTTCTAGCTTTGGCAGTATCTCATAATTGGCACATTCAGCAACTCGATATAAATAACGCCTTCCTACACGGCAGCCTTGATGAAGAGGTTTACATGGAATTACCACCCGGCTTCAAGGGAGAGAAATCAGGGCAAGTTTGCCGATTACTACGATCCCTCTATGGCCTCAAGCAAGCTAGCCGACAATGGAACTCAAAACTAAGCAGTGCCTTGATAAGCAAAGGCTTCAAACAAGCGCAGTCAGATCCGTCATTGTTCACCAAGGGATGTGGTTCGGATTTGATAGCTATCCTCATATATGTTGATGATATCTTGATTTCTAGCCCCAACATGTGTCTCATCAATGAACTCAAAGCCTTCCTTGATTCGACCTTCAAAATCAAGGACCTTGGAAAGCTGGGCTATTTTTTGGGTATTGAAGCCCATAGAACTGAAGCATGCCTAAACTTGTGCCAACGGAAGTATGCATTAGACATCCTAGCTGAAGAGGGCTTTCTTCACTGCAAGCCGGTAAGCACCCCCATGGTTCCAGGTCACAAGTTAACCAAAGACAGTGGCACCTCTATCACAGACACCAATGGCTATAGAAGACTTATTGGGCGATTGCTATACTTAACTGCAACAAGACCTGATCTCTCCTATGCGATACAGCAACTCAGCCAGTTTATAGATACTCCCACGGATGTGCACTTAGCTGCAACCCATCGTATACTACAATATATAAAGAAGGCTACAGGGCAAGGGTTGTTCTACCCTGCAAATAACAGTCTGCAGCTTAACACTTTCTCTGATTCAGACTGGGGATCCTGCTTGGAGACACGAAAATCCATCACTGGCTTCTGTGTTTTTCTCGGCTCTGCTCTTGTGTCATGGAAATCCAAGAAACAAGCCACTGTCTCCCGTTCTTCATCAGAGGCTGAATATCGAGCACTCGCAGCCACAGTTTGTGAAGTACAATGGATCACGTTTCTTCTACGAGACTTGCAGGCTCCATTAAACAAACCTGCAACGCTGTTTTGTGATAATAAATCGGCAATAGCCATAGCCGAAAACCATGTCTTCCACGAGAGGACAAATCACTTGGATATAGATTGCCACATTGTTAGAGAGAAAGTCAGCCAAGGACTTGTCAAGTTACTCTCTGTCTCCTCCGCCGCACAAGTTGCCGATGGCTTTACCAAAGCACTCCCAATATCTCTGTTCCAGACATTCATATCTAAGCTGGGCACGCATGATCTGCATACTCCAGCTTACGGGGGGGTATTGGAGGACAAGGCACGTGAGCAAGAAAATGAAGAAGGCTCCAGTATGTAACCGTCTTGGATCAGTTATGCGTATGTTATAACTGCCTTCTTCTTTGTATACTTAAAGCATTCTGTAATCTTTGTAAGAAGATAAGTCAAAATAATATTCCTTTTCGTTACACCAACAAACCTCGTTCTTCTCTTTCACGCTTCTCCGTCATTTCTACCCAAAAATTCTTTCTGTCAATGTAAAAATATCATCTCTATCCATAAATTCTTCTAGTGATCATATATAAGATTCAGAATTTTGGGAAATAATACTTCAATTAGTACAAAAGTATTATTAATAATTCTTAATAAAATCTAGGATTTCTAAGTTCCTATTTCACTGTTATATTTTTCATAAAATTTTATTAATATGGATTGTGAAAACATGTGTCGTGATGGAAACGATGAAGCTGATGAAGCTGCCATTAATGAGCACCTCACCTATCCTGCATTTGTATACAATGCGGTAAACTTTTCAATTAAAAAGTACTAATTTATAATTGAAAAGCATTATGTAAATGAATAAAAGTAACACTTTGATTTTCCCAATATTTTGTGTAATATATACTACTTCGAAAAAGTATTGCATTTTGATTTCAAAGTATTATATTTTCTATGATAAGTAACAATAATTTAGTTGAAAATAGCAATGTTGTGCAATATTATGTTATTCTGTGTAACATACTTTCAATGAAAAAAGAGATAATATCTAGTGTATTCTTATGACATTCTTACTTTTTCGACAGAAAATGTTATGAATATGGAGAATCAAGGGCCACCTTTTTATGGCCACATTGAACAAAATATTGTGACAATTGATTACTAATCAGCAACATGATATTTTTGATTCTGCAAAGCGGGAAGGTAAAGACATGAATTTCATTATAGTCACAAGTAATACATTTCTTTTAATAAGTAGCAGTAATATTTCAAATAATTCTTGCTGAGAATGAAGTTGACATATATAGTTTACTTGAAGACTTAAAATGGAAAAAAAAAAAAAAAAAAAAAAACATTTAGATGGAATGTATGAATTGTATGCTAATATAATCATGCTCTTGGATTTAGTACTCGTAAATTAACCACACGGACAAATAACAATCTTATAATTGAATAGTATTTTGTATGTTCTTTTCAAGGGACAAAAAAATCTAAGAATCTTGATGAGCAAAGTGAGGTTTCTTCATTAAAAAGGTTTTTTTTTTTTTTTTTTTTTTTTTTTTTTTTTTTTTTAAGCATTAGATGCACATGATGTAAGGCTTAAATGAGAGTAAGGTTGAATGATGAAGGTGTTTATGAAGTAGCCATTTACGCTTTCCAATTTGTATTGTCTTTAATATATGTTCTTCCACAAACAAGACATAGGTTATGCGTATGGCATCTTCACCAAAATGCTATTAGTAGATTTGGATAATTAAAACGTGATAAATTATTCAAAGACACATTTAACAAATGTTTGACAAATAAACTTGCAGAAAGTCAAAATTAAGATTTCAACGTTACTTTCTTTCCTGCACAACTAAAAATTACACTTATACTATAAGTAATACATTTATGTTGTAAAGCATTACATGTAGAGATAAAAGTATTAGTTATGTCTATAAATGTGTAATTTACTATGACAGGTTTGTTGTTGTAATACTTTTTTTTTTATGAAATTATGATACTTATGATAAATATTCTAATACTTATATGTTAAACATGAATACTATGACAGGTTGTGCTAATGAAAATGAATTTGAAAATTGTTGGAAGTCCATGGTTTCAAAGTATGGGTTAGAAGATCATGCTTGGTTTAGACGTTTATATGAATTATTAAAAGAAAAATGGTGTACTGCACTAAGCAAAGATTTCTTCTCGGCTGAAATATTAACTTCACAAAGACGTGAAAGTAGAAACCATGCTATTGGGTTTAATGCAAATAAAACTACAACTTTGATGCAGTTTTATAAAATTTTTAAAAAACAATTAAGCGGTGGAGGAATATACAAAAACACTCTTCAAAGATTTTTAGACTGGATTTTTGAGATGCATTTCTACATACTAATTCAAACTAACATTATGATGATTGATAGTAAGTTGATGATTTATCATACACGATGCTAAATATGTGTTTATACATTAATATAATAGGGATAAAATACACTTTTGGCCGCTCTCTATTTTTTTTTTAAAAAAAATCTATTATGTTTATATAAATAAACTCAAAATATATATTAAAGTTTAAATTTATTAAATAAAAAAAATAAATCAAATCACTACTGGAAATCTCGCGTTTTCCGTCCAACAAATGTTGGACGGAAAACGCGATATATTGGTCGGAAACGACGTTTCCGTCCAACATACCGACCAAAAGGAACGTTCGGAAAAACCTCCGTGGGAAATTCCGTCCAACTACAATTTTTGGTCGGAAATAGCGTCCAACCAACAAAAATTGGACGGAAATTCCGGAAAATAACCCACCATTTTTAAAACGTGGGAACTTCCGACCAACTTTGTGCGTTGGTCGGAAATTCCGTCCAACCACGGGCGTTGATCGGAAATTTCGACCCAACGTTGGACAGAAAACTCATCTATTATATTTTGTTATTTTCCTTCCAACTGTTGGTAGGAAAATCCTAAATCATATGGAATATTTTTATTATTTTTATATTACCACAATTTTATTTATAACTGTTTTTTTATAAATTATGTCATCAACAAATTAATGAACACACTAAATTGAAAATTGAAAATATATTTAAACATCAAAATTATTTACAACAAAAATTATGTTCATGTTCATAAAAAAAAACATAAAAAATATATACTACTTGATTGATACTCCGTACTACTTAAGTATGAAAATATACTTATTTGATACTACATAAGTATGCTCGCTGCACCCAAATAAGCCTTCAAATCCGGCACTGCTTCAATGGCTTTGATCAATGCAGCATCCACAACCTCTTCAATGAAGTTGATCAAGTGTAGACCTTCACAAAAATGGAATTAACTTGTACATTATTGTTGGCAGGAGAACAAGTCAAGGAACAATTTCATTGTTGCAGAAGAATAAGACTTTTTTGTTACACCACAGACTTAGTAAAGTAGACATACTTGAACCTCCCCAATTCCTTCGGGTAGTATTTTCCCCATTTCAAGTGAAACAAGTCAGCCAAAGTAGTGAAGTTTTGCTCTAAGTGTATCACCAATCTGCCTAACAATATCACCTCTTTTTGGTGCTGGAATCTGAGACAAAATAGAAACAATCAAGACATTTAGTTTACACTAAAGGAGTCAAGAAGAGATCAAGTACAAAATTAAGATGTTTTTCACACTGTAGGCACACAATTATGTGAGTGACAATACTTTAGGCAGGTGATTTTGACAAAAGTGAAGATAGGGTGACAAGATTGATATCATCGTGATGAATATACCTGCATCCACAGCTTTGCTGCTTCGTTACAAGCCTGCATGCCTTCTTCATAATCTTCAATTGAAGCTTCAACAACTTCGGCTATGGTCTGAGTTAATGAACACAAAAATAAAGATAAAAATAAACTATCAGCGCCGCAATCCATAAAAGGAACTTCTCCTTATTAACAAATAATTATCAACCATACTTGTCGAATCAATGAAATTCGGAACAATAAACTTCAAACAATGAACAAAAAACCTCAAGAACAAAAAAATAAAATAAAATCATAGAACCTGGCGATGAACCATACGGCAAACTGAACGCTCCAAATCTGAGAACACCTACATATTGAGAGCATATAAGAAAAATTTATGAAAAGCAATCACCAAAATCTACATTACCAACAAATATTTCTAGACCAATGAACATCTTAATGAAGCTGTAACACCAAAAATGTTTATCCTCCTCTAGGATGGTAGGAAGGAAGAGACTTTTCCTCTTTTTATGGGGTTAATACAGGAATCTGTGACAGACCATCAATGTCCAATAATTTTATCCATGGCTTTGGACCTTGAGATTATAGAAGCATGCACCATCTCTATCTAGAAGACTCACTTTCAGAAGTTCGGAGACAAACACATATGAAGCAAACTTGAAAACAGGGGTTCTGGGTGTAATTACGCAACTAGAGGGCGTCCAACCGAATTATCAAAAACCTTAGGGGTTTAGGTGGTTTAGATGAAATTATCCTTATAAGAACATACCAAAATATGGATACCTTAGGCATGGAGGTGAAAATATCAGCCAAAAAGAAGTCAGCAAAAGATATTTCCTGCATTCACAGAATTAAAATTCAAATAAGGCAATGAATACTTTTCATTAAATTAGTACTGAAGCAAAACAACAAATAATTTGTTATTGGTTCAACAAAAACCATTAAAGTCTAAAATTTTAAAGACAGAAGATGAAAGACTCAGCAGATTTTCTTAAACAATTTGCAATTTCAATCCCAAACCAATTAGAACACTTTATTGCCTGAGTATTTTCCACAACAAGACTTAAGCAGCTGCTGCCACCAAACCCATTGCTTTCTTCCTCTTTACCCACCATTTCTACATCTAGCAAGCCCTAATTCCTAAAGTTGTCCACTATACATGCTAATATAAATATATTCCGACTAGAGAGAAACACCAACTTGCACAATTCGGGATATTCAATTTCTCTGTAAATTCACGGAAATGAACCCATTTTACAAATTCACTATTGCCGAAGATAAAATTCCAACATTCAAGACATAGTGGATATACAAATTTCATCTCCAAATTAAAAAAAAAAAAAATCAATTAAGCGAAAAACTTATGCTTCACTTCTTCTCTAATTGAATTGGCAAAAATAAACATAAAACTGTAAGCATGTTTGTATATGTAGAGAGAAATAGTAGTTCACCTTGGTGTGCAGAGCCTGAGTTGAACCCTAGAGTAGAGAGAGGTGAGAGAGATTTGGGCTTATCCGAGACCGAGAGGGCTTTTCAAAATTTTGGAAACTGAGAGGGTGCGTTGGTGGAGTTGTAGTCCCAATTTTTTCGCTGAAGTTTCTTTTGTTGACCAAAAATTGACGGTGAAGGCGAAGCCGCAGGGGTTAGGTTAAGGCTACGGCCTAAGGCTTTTCGAAGCCGATTTTTGGGCTGGAGGCGAAGCACTCGGGTGTGAAATTTCGAAGCCGATTTCTGCGCAGAAGGTGAAGCCATCGGAGCGGGTTAACTGTAGGGCTTTTCGAAGCCATCCTTGAGTTTTGATCGCTGATTTCCTGATCGACGGCGAACCTGATACCTTCAAACCACCAGAATCGCCGTTAGCCTCCATTGAGTGTGGCTGAGGCTTTGGCGGTGGCTGTCGGTTGTCATAGTCGGAGAAGGAAGAGCGGCGGCAGAAATGACGGTCTGTTCTGGTTCTCGTCGTCGGAGATGAGAGGGCGAGAGAGGGCAGCGAACGGAGAGGTCGAGAGAGTGAGAGAGAGTGTGAAAGCTTAAGCCAAGCTTCGCAAGAGAGAGCAGATCTGTTCTTTTGACTATTAGAGAGAAGAGAAGCGTGAATATTAGAGAGAAGAGAGGCGTGAAGTAACTAATAAGTTTTTGATATAAAAAGATTTTTTTTTTTAATTCAAACATTCCAATCAAGTGAATTAAAAATATTTAAATTTCCGTCCAATATTATGTTGGACGGATATTAAAATACCTACTATTTTAATTTCTACCTATCAGTCAATTCGACTTTACCAACCAACACTATAGGTTGGTCGGAATTTCCGTCCAACGCGCGAGTGTTGGACGGAATTTCCGTTCAACACTCGCGCGTTGGACAGAAATTCTGACCAACTTTCCGTCCACCCATCTTTAGTAACAAAAAGTTGAAATCTTTAGTAAAATACCGACCAATTTACGGTTGGACGGAAATGTTGGACAGAAAACGCGAGATTTCCAGTAGTGAATAATTAAAGTCACCTTTTTTTTATTATCTTATTTCTTTTATCAAGATTTTAATAATGGATCTGAGGGCATCAAGTATCTATTTTAATTTTAAAAATCTCCAAATTGACATATATGCTTTAGTTTTATTAGTTTCGTTGATTAATTAATTAGTGACTTATATTGTGTATAATCTTGTCAATTATGTTTCCGTGATTGGGCCAGCTTGGTATTTTGTGGATCACATCAACAAATGGGCTGAAACATTACAAAAAAACATCTAGTTGAATAGAGTGGTAGGAAGTCAAAAATATGCTCTTGTTGAGAGTCGAACTCAAGACCTCCCGCTTACTAAATGGGTGCTCTAACCAACTGAGCTACGAGAGCTATTGGTTTTAAGCTACGAGAAATGAATAATTACCAAAACTATGAGTTGAATAGCAAGTGAAGATGACAAAGATATGCTCTCGTTGAGAGTCGAACTCAAGACCTCCCGCTTACTAAACGGGTGCTCTAACCAACTGAGCTACGAGAGCTGTTGGTCCTGAAGTGTAACTAATATATTTACTCCAAAGTTTTAAAATGAGAGTGAAATAGCAATCCAAATTTAAATACTATATAATTAAATACTTAAATTTTTATAGAAAATATGGTTAAATATTCCATCAAACTATTTATCAAAAAGTAATTATGCTCCTAAATTTAAAAAAAAAATTGCAACTAACACATCAACTCAACAATTTGACGCAATTAAATCGATTAGTGGATTACCTTTAACTTACCAATAAAAATGTGTTGTTGGAGAGGCGATGTTTATTCAAATAAATTAATAATAATAAAAAGGAAACAAAGAGAGAGAAGCGCTAGAGAAGAATAAGAGGCGATCGGCTTCTTGGTCTATGGCAACCATTAAATTTTTAAAAAAAATTATATTTTATTTAGGGTTTAAATTTACCTGTTTCTATTGTAAGTTTATTGACTAATTGACTTAATTGTAAAATTTTAAAAAGTTATCAATTCAATTGTATCAAACCAATGAATTGATGTATTTAATTACAACTTTTTAAAATTTCGGGATACATACAAAAAATCATCGCTTCTTTATTAATCTTTTGATCTAAACTAGGATGGACATATATTATCATAATACTAGGCTCACTTGGCTAGCATTATACATCATGCCCACTTGGCAGAACAATAGTTATAAAACATTATGGAGTCTTGTTTTTATTTCTTTGTGTTTCTTTCTCAACAAATTAAATGCACTGTAGTTTTCCCACGGTCAATACTTAACATTGTACTGAAGATGAAATTAGCCAAGTTTTGCACATGGCAACCATCCTGTTACTTAGGGAGGGTACAGTGAGAGAACAAGCACTACTAGCTCAAACAATAAAAAGCCATTATGCAGGAGCGAAATTTATTCAGTGCATATTTGATAGTAATTGTGTATTTTCTAACGTGTTAATACCTAATTTAGTCCTCAACTATACTGATTTTCTCGATTTGGTTTTAAACAATTTTTTTGTACTTAATTAGGTCATCGATTTTGATGGTTGTACTCGATTGAGCCCTCTATTAAGATAGTTTTGTAATTTCACCTCTATTAATTAACACCCAATTTAGTTCTCGACTATAATAATTTTACCTAAGCTAGTCTTCGACTATAATTGTGTTCATTCCTTCTTCTCCTACCACAGCACAGAGAGAGACTTCAGCTTCTACACTGTTTGTTTTCCCTTCTGTCTGTTCCAACAAGTTCAGGTCCTCATATCCCTCACCCTCCTCCTCTATCAAGTGGAAGGTGGGACCTTTACATCTGTGTCCTGGCTGCCAATTTTCAAAGCACTTAAAGCACCTTCTCTGTTCTCTAAGTTGTGCCTTGGACCTAATCAGATCTTGGACAAGTGAGCTTGCATATTGGGATGGGGGTGCATCTTTATGGCTATGGGGTGGGGGTGTGAGTTCTGTAGCGTAAGTAGGATAGATTTTTGTGGGTGGAGGTGGTAGGGGGTTCCAAGTAGATGGTTTATTAGGCTCATTGATTTTCAGCCCCTTCTCAAATTGTCTTGCATACCAAATAGCATCTCCCAAGGTGTTTGGTTTGGCAGTCCTCACAAAACACCTGAGGTTGTGTTTCAATCTAGCTATAAAGTTTTACATTAAGTAAATCTCAGTCAAGTAAGGATGGCCTTGGAGTAATTGACTCTTAAAGTCCTCATACTTGTCAGTGAAATCATCAATAGAGCCCCAATGCTTCCATCAAGGACACCACTACTCTCAAACCTTTTGCAGACAGCTTCTACAAAATGTGGCCACTGAAACCCTTGTCTCAGCTCACTCACATACCCCTCATACCAAATCCCAACCTTCCCAGAGAGATACACAAACAGCAAGTTCATAATCTCATTCCTAGGGATGTGAGAGATCATGAAAAAACTCTAACACCTGATAATCCAATTTCTAGGATGTTCATAATCAAATGCAGGGAAGTCAGCCTTATACCTGGGATAAAAGTCAGCTTGCTGGTTACGATTCCCATCCAGCCTTGTCATCCTTGTGATCCAGTCCCTCTCAGGCACCTCTACTGGATCTTCCTCTTGCAATGGACCCATAGGAGCTTTATTAGCTCTTCTGCCAGGGTCCAAACTAGGTTCCCCAGGGGCTTGCTGG